TGATGAGTGGTAGATAAATGCAAATTTATTGTTTTTTTCGAAAGCAAACTCCAATAGCTTTTCCTTAGTAAAATTTTAACTGAATTTTTTTTTTACTTAAAAAAAAATTTATTAAAATATTTAAGGCAGATTTTTTTTATTCATTGCAGATGTTTCTTTTGTATTTTTAAGTTTAAATATTTGTTCAATTCGCATTTAAGTTTTCTTATACTTTTACGTAAATCACATATAAATTCCACCTATTATTAATACTTTCGTAAGTGGATCTAATTGAGTACTTTATAGTACTCACTACATGTAAAACTAAACTTTTTTTTAGCTTTAGTTGTATGTCAATACAATTATAAGTTATTTATTTAATCAACAATAAAGAAGAGATAATTAGTAACGGTTGTTTTTACATATTCCTTTCATGTGAAAAAAAATTTTATATAACGCAGTAAACCTATACTAGTGTTATAATTGTACCTATACTAGTCTTACTGATATATAAAGCAAAGTCGCTAAAACCGTTGTAACCGCTAACTGCGAAAACTATTGAACCGATTTTGCTTAAATTTTGCAGACTGATTCTTGATAATTCCGAGATGGTTTTCACGTAGCTTTTTTCTTAAAAAAGTAAATAACAATAGAGATAAATAAGCTTAAAGTTTTGCTAAAATAATCTAGCTGTGCGCTTTAGTTCAGTAAAATTCGCTAGGTAGCTTCAAGGTAAAATTAAAGCCACCCAAAATCAAATATAGTGAAAAGTGGCTATAAGATGCCCCATCGAGTAGACAGGAACCCATAACACCAAGAACAGAGGAGTCCGTCGTGCAGCTGGGTATCCTGACTACCGATGACACTCTTCTCTTATGGACATCCTAAATAAATCGGTTTTAACCTCGGGTCCCCAAAATAAACAAGTGCCACAGAAAACAGGCAATCGGAACGTCAACGTCACCGGTAGAATACCAGGAAACGTTTCTAGTCACAGCACAACCTGCTCCAGCACTTCAGAGGTTTGTAGCCGTTTAACCATCCGACCTGGTGCAGTCAGAGTATTTTCTACTTCAAATGCGAGCCAGGCAAGACAGCCCTGAAAATTACGGGCAGCCACAACGGCCTCCTTCTTAATGGTCGTCCGAATGGCATATCTACGGAGAAGGTATTTTCCAGGACCACTTTCCTCACTACCGATGAACGGTTAGTTATCCGGGGAACCACCTAAAGACGAGATATTCTTTGTTCAGCAGCGTACTTCCCTTCCTGTACGGTCTCCGTACACAGAGACTCAAAGGATAAGCGTCAAGCTACCCGCAGCTGGCTCTTCATCATTAAGAATAATAATAAGGAATAACTGCAAGTTTCACCACCAGCCTTTTTTAGGGCCATTATAAGTATTAACGTTCCCTACTTAACCATTAATCTCATTGGTCCTTTTCAGAACCACCTTAGTTTAAATTACCTTGCCAACAAAAAAATTTTTACTACGATTTCCAGAGACGATTCGTCAATTAAAAGACTAAGTAAGGCCGGCCACTATTAAACCAAGTCAGTCATTCACTGGCAGACGTCAAGAGCACAATTGTTCGTCACAAGGCTGGGAACCCCGATGACCGACGACCCTATATTAACCCCTCGACTTTAAGCATTCAACCAGGAATCACCGATCCTCTCCAAGGTCTGCTCTGGGAGAATCTAACAGCTTTGAAAAAAAAATAATAAACGTGAGCCAACGAGACAGTTTTTAACGAGCAAGCATTACGAACCAACCTTTCCACCTAAGATCACCAAAACAACTGAGTCTGCAAAAAAAGGAGGTGCTTTCGACCCTGTCTTCGACGTTATACCAGGAGACGTTGGGAAAAAGCTCTACAACTGGCTCCAAAGCTTTAAACATTGTAGTTTTCTTCCCGATTAGTATGGTGCTACAATAACAGGCCCGAGAAGATTACCCTAAGGTAACCAGGCAGTCACGTTTGCTGGAAACTTCAGTCAAGAAAGTCTTTGCTTAAGAAGCTCATCGGTCCTCTTTAGGTTTATTGGACGTTGAACTACCTTGCCGAAAAATATATTACAACCTAATAAAGTTGAAAAAAATAGTCTTTAGGGCTCGCAAGAGTCTTATGTATGCCAAAAGTAAGAAGAAGTCGAATTAAAAGGAAAACTCTAAATGCATCTGATGAATACAATTTTAGGGGTCAAGAAAACGACGAAAGAATTTATTAAGTGAGAGATCAGCTTTTCACTATACCCCTCATAGTAATCTCTTGAATCTTCTAGACTTCTTAATAGGTAGAATTTGTATTTGTATTTTTGTTGCAATAAATAACGTAGAGATCAAGCTCCAGGACTTTGTTGCTCTAGTAATAAAGTTGTGGGATAAGAGAAAAAATTTTTTAATAATATATGTTTTGGGAGCTTTCAATCTCTACAGCTTTAAAAAATAGCCTTGTTCATAAATTATACGGAAAAAATGCAAATCAACGGCCTTTTAAGGCCAACGATTATTTTATGATACAAGGAATGCACGTTACTTTTCAGTATATTTATTTTTTATTACTTTTTACAGCTTTTTACTTGACCAAATAAATTGTATGCATTCCGAACAAATATGTTTTCAATAAGAAGATTTTTATTCTGAGAAGTATCAAACTATATGTAAAACTTTTAACTGAAAAATTTTCACATTACATATCAATACACTACGGTGTTCCATTGAGTGAGTCTCGGGCGAAACCGAGACGGGGGGCCGCTAGTGTTATATATTACTGTCCATCGTATTTAATATTTAACTTTGATTTTTAATTTAATTTTCTGAATACAAATTACAACTTTTTTTTTATATTATAGTGCTCTCCGTCCGACTCCTTTGATAAGGGCACTACTATGGGCACTTAGCACTTAAGAGAAGGAAAGGAAGAGAGATGGGAGTCCTCGCATTAAAGGAGGGAGGTAGTGGGAATTTAGGCAATTATACTGTGAGAAGGTCACCTTAAACCCTCCTCGAGGAGCATTGCGTGGTGAAAAAGCACATGTGAAAAATCACAGAGGTACTTGCCCGAAAAGTCGCACTGGCTGGGAATCGAACCACGGTCTCCCACGTGCCAATCCACGACCTAGCTGACTGAGCCACCGCGCGCTCTACAAGTTATAATTGTAGTCTTTAATATGAAGTATATATAATATAAATGTATCATAATAACGTTAATTGATCTTCAAAATTGGAGTCCACGAGGCACCGGTTGTCCTGTGGTCTAACGTGCACTGACACCTTCTATAGTTTAAAGTTGAACTGACACCTTTTTCAGCGAAAATTTGAGCTGACACTGTCTCCGGGTTAAAAATTGAGCTGACACCTTTTTAAAACAAATTCTGAACTGACACTTTTTTTAATCAAAACTTGAGCCGACTCTTTCTTTTGCTCAACCATCGATATATTGTAACTCACAATGTATACTTAATGTGTTTGAAACTAATGGTTACTAAAATAGTTAAAGAGCTTGACGTACACCACAGAAAAGTTCAAATTTTTGTTGTACTGATTGTAAACTGATAATTAAACCTAATTAGCTTAATTTTTGTGAGAATCGATAGGATAAGTATTGTTTACACCGTACGTCAAAGCAAAACAAAAATGAAATAAAAATTAGTTAAGATGTAAGTTACTGTTATTTGATTACATATTGACTTCTCTACAAATATTCTGTATCTATTAGATTATAATGATTATGTCCGAAAATACTTATACTAAATCAGTTAAATGTTAATACGGATACCATTATTTTATTTATAATGAAGCGCATAGGTTTACTTGGCCATTCTACGAAATAATTCTACTTTTTTCGATATTTACAATTATAGTTTTCATGAAGTGTTTTCAAAGGGGTTTTGTTGCGTTAGTAAAGGGCTAAGCAGGTAACTGTTATTGAGATTCACCTGATGCTTTAAAAGATTCTGTATTTTTACATAACAATTTTAATTAAACAGTATAAAAGTTATCACTAAAATGTTGTAAAAAAAGTACATTACAAATATGTTCATTTGTTTGAAACAAAAATATCTTTCTATAGATTTACTGATTCATTCTTGTTGTCTGGCCTGTTTAATCAAGTTCTGCTACCTGGGCCAATAAAGTATTATTAACTTGGTAACTAGTTGTATCATCACTACTGAATCCATCGAAAAATGAGTTAAGAAAAGAATTTAATAGTCCTTCATGATTGCCTTGAGATGGTTTGCTTTTAAAAAAAATATGTCCAACTTTATCAAGATATTGAATAATGCACGGATCTTTTGTTAAACACGTCGTGTACTGTTTGCATATAGTTGTGAATAGCCCGTAGTTCCTCCTACAACAGAAAAGTTAGAGTTAAAAAAATGTTAGTATTTTATATCCTACATTAACAGAAAATATATCCATATCAAAATCAAATCTTTTAACAGATTTGTAAAATTTACTATAGATAGTAATCTCAAGAATTAATATTATTCCTTTGATAAGCTCTTAATCATTCTTTGTATAAAAATGAATTACGGCTTACGTAAGACACGATAAAATACGAATTGTGTAAAATCGTACTAGTAAGGAGAACAAAGCACAATGCTTAAGATTTTTACAAGTTTAGTAAAAAATCTGAAAATACTCGGCAACTTGTAAAAATTTTTTAAATTAGGCAACCTTAGCTTGATAAAAACTAAAGTTCAACAGTAGTCTAAGACATAAAAGCTCTAATAGATATCATGCTTTACAATGTAAGATGTCAAATTTTTTAAATTTTGTATGGAGTTTAAGATTGATAGTCCTCAAAATCAGGCTCTTGTACTAAATTGTTGTCACAAGTCCTACTCTATTTTTAACATAAAAAGATAATTTTTTTACAACTTGGAATAATAATTATTGTAGAACTTTTTTGTCGACGATTAAAGTTAATAATAAGTTTTAAGACACTTCAGTAGCAAAAAATTAAGTTTACGGCAAGTTTTTATCCAAAATCTTGCTGTTTTCAACCTTACTCAATGTTTACGTAAAGTTGCTCTCACATGTACTATGACTTTTGTAAGTTTCTTTAAAAACAAACTTTCAAAAGCATGATGAGGTAGACTTTCTTGTGCTTCCAAATTTTGTACCCCACGAATTAGGGTATCAAACTTTTTATAATGTAAACTAACACTTCAGTTTGAAACTCCGGTTACGAGAATTTTAATGTACCCAATCTACAGGAACACGAGACTTTTCTATATTACTATCACATCTATAAATTTGTATTAATAGTTGGGTTAGCTCTGCAACAATCGATAAAAAATAATTCCAACGTAGGCTCTGTAAAAGCTGCAAAGTTAACGGGTACAGAAATAGAAAGGGAATGAGTGAAAGGAAGTATAGATTATTTTAGAGAAAAACCACGACGCGCTATCAATTCAAGTGACGAGAATAAGATAATAGAAAAAGCTTGAACTAAATGACAATGAGAAAATTATCTTATAAAATTTAAGATACAGCTCGATTTATTGGACTATGTTGTAAATATAAATAGAAAAAATAAGCTGACACGATACTTATAAATACTTTAGTAGGTAGCATGCGAGACGTAGACAAAGGGCAGTAAAACTCGGACGAGACAAAATAAAATGGTTGCGGTAAGCTGAGAAGACAAGGCCATACACAGTGATTAAACGAAGAGCTGACTTTCTGACATAATCAGCCTATCGTACGATATTGTTGACTCATAAATCCTTTTACGATACCAAAATTCACATTATAAGACAATCACTGCTCGAAAATAATTACCTCATTTCTTTTATGAATTGACAAACAAAATGTAGAATTTCCTTTTTATCAAAAAAATGTAAGTTAAATGAATTACCTCGGTGCACAAATCGAACCTTACATCTTACCATATCAGTCCCTTAATGTTCTTATATCATAAGTTCTTATAAGATAAATTTACTGTGTTAAAAACTACAATATCCAATGTAGTTTGCAACAGATACTTTAGTTGGCAAGCAAGAGACAGAGAAAGAGAGAGAGAGAGAGACTGCTAGATACCTGGAGGTGCAAGATATCACCTGTTCGAAAATAATTTCAACTTCTGAACTTGTCTTAATCAATCAAGAGCTGAATGAGGAAAAAAAATTTATAAAATTGTAAAAAAAAAATTTTCTTTAGAATACTATATCGAAGTATTTTCCACTGCAATGAGCTCTGAATTTTTTTTTTTTTTTAGCAAAAGTACGATAAATAATCAGCTATTTAATTTATTGCACTATCTTAACATTCAAAATTAGGCTCAGTGTTTGAAAACAATTAAGCAGATTAGACAAATCATTGAGCCTTTTCTGAATGAAGTGTTATTTTTCATTGTTGACTGATTAATCTCTGTCATGATAAATGAAAATGCTCATTTTTTTTCCTATTTGGGGCTTTAAGTATGGTTCACAATTTCTAATTTTCTAGAATCAATGTATTCAGATGATCAAATTCGTCAAAACGAGAGAGACAGACTACTAACCACCCAGAAATGCAAGATGTCACCAGTCGAAGACTCATGGCAACTTCTGTAGTCATCCCAATGAATCTTAAGTTGAATAGAGAAGAATCAACATCATAAATAAAATTGTAACTTTCCAATCCTATGTCAATGTAAAAATCCTACATTCACTTTATGTAAGATATATATTTGGCGCTCGGAACTGAATTTCAGCGCATGCGTAGTAGCAAGGAGTCAAGACGCTGCGACGCTACACTGCAGTATTGAAAACGTATAGCTTGATTCAATCTCGCGCGGTCAGTCTGTCGATACGCACTCCCTACTTTCATATTTCCTGATTTGATTTCATCTTGCTTTATTTCAGTTCAGCTCACGATTGTACCTTTAATTGTAAGGACGATAGATAGCATATACTCAAGATAGTGAGAATAAACGTGTTCGTATTTTGTAATAAAACCACTACAGTTGTACATTTTATTGCCCGATCACATACCTATACATCCATACTGCTAACAGGTTGTGGGCCTAAAAAAGCGTAGTGTGGTTGTGCATTCAGGACCTCCCTAGCCGTCATTTTTTTCTGTGATCGAGCCCATCTCGCGTTAACTCGCATTCTTTTTGACCTCCACGTTTTCTTGTCCCTCTTTCTTACAGGCTTTTTACAGACCATCGACGAGGCGGTGTTGAGGTTGACATCAGCCACCAGTGAGACCGAGCAGATCGAGGAGGTGACAGCTGACAGGGTGAAAAAGATTGTGAGAAAAATACAGAAAAAAAAAGTAAGTAACTAATAATGAAACTTATAGTGTCTTTATCGGTCGTTACGTTGACATAATGTGTGTTTGTTTTTCGTTGTTTTAAAACCGAAATTGTATAAGAGCGATAATAATAGATGTCATAAATGTGATAAAAATGACAGTAGATAGGATTTGTGAAGTGTCTCATAAAGCTAGTACTCTGTAATTCTCAAAGGTCAAGAGTTGGTACGTATTTTTCTTCGTGAGACAGGCTTGCATTAAGGTACGAAGATTTTCATTCAGCTGCTACAGCTATAGCTACCGCTGAGGGGGACGCCTCAAAGCGGGGAGAGGGACTCTCGTTTTGGCTATGACTTGCGTTCAATCTGGCCAGGCATATGTATTCCGTGTAGCAGGCTTGGTAGCTGATGACGCGCATAGAGCAGCCATATTAGATAGACTTTTGTTTATTTTTCCAAGTCCTCGTACAGTGCGGCCACGATCCTCTCCGTGGATTTTCACGCTCAGACTAGAGGTAAATGCCGACTCAAACCAAAATGCAGAAATTTAAAATTTCTAATTTTGGTATAATGCGCGTCAGCACATCATATTAACAGGCAGAATATGTTTTTGATGTAAACTCACTGGATACGCTGTCAGAAAAATATAAAAGAATGGAAGAAAACATAAAAAAATTTAAAGAAGTGATGGTGATAAGTAGTGAAAATGTAGCACTGTTTTCGTCTAATGATAAAGTATCATATTTAAGAAACATTGTTATTCTGTGCCTGTTATACATACAATTGTGCTCGATCACGTTAGGATTTTACTGCTATTGTGTAAGACTTAAGACATGTTGGGTTCGCATGCTTAAGTCATCTGCTGTACCTCGTCCCATGGGTAGTGCGCATGCATTGCGTTTGTGTGTGAGTGCTTGCTCATGTTTCCCGGTGACACAGCTTTTATTTGACTGGTTATTGGGAAATAGTACATATAACTTGATCTGAGTTATTATAGGAGATACGAGTGACGATAACGATACAGTAGAACCGTTTAGTTTAATGGAAAAACATGGAGGTATCACTTACACTATCCGTCAACACAAGCAGCACATTCCAGACAAAGGTTCTTTAGATATATTAAAGATAGGAGATTTGAATACAATAAGTTACGTAAGAACAAAAATTTAAGATGGACATAAACAAAGGGAAGCTTTAACAAGATAGCAAATTAAAGATTTTAAAGATAGAAAAATTATTTTGATCGATACCACATCTCAAGACAAAAATAAAGATTTAAGCGATAGAGAAATAAATTTAATTGATCATCTAAAGACAAGAATAAAGAGTTGAGAGATGAAAAAATAAATTTGATTCTTACTTTATCAAAGTAAAAAATTTAAGATTTGAAAAATGGGAAGATAGTTTTGATAATACCTCAACTAAAAATAGCAAAGATTTGAAAATAGAAAAATTGATTTGATTGATACAAGATTATTTTAACAAGAAAGCAAATTAAAACTTTGAAAAATAGAAAGATACATTTGAGTGATACAAGATCATTTAAACAAAATAGCACATTAAATATTTAAGAAAGAGAAAGTCAGATTTAATTTTGAATAATAATCCTTAATAATTAATAGCAAATTAAAAAAAAAAAATTTTTTTTAAAGATTCGATTATTACATGAACTACAGATAGCATATTGAAGAATCTGAAAGATAGAAAAGACAGTTTAAAGAAATAGATAGATAATTTTGATCAGAAAATGGCGAGCAAAAATAATGATNGCACGTTGGATTGTTATTAAATCCATTCATGCGTCAAATTATTGAGAACAACATTTCTACGTGATCCTGGGAAAGCTTGTAACTTAGTACATAATCGACATATTTGTTTTGTAAAAGATAGTAACTTAAATTATAAAAATTTTTTAGGCCAACAATGAATCTTTAAAGATTCGATTATTACATGAACTACAGATAGCATATTGAAGAATCTGAAAGATAGAAAAGACAGTTTAAAGAAATAGATAGATAATTTTGATCAGAAAATGGCGAGCAAAAATAATGATCTTAAAATAGAACTGACTAAAAAAGCCTACACGAAAGACATTTAGGAGATT